ACGATTACAATTCGAGTAGTCTAACCGCTGGACCACCGACGCCAGCAGAACGTGCTACATAACACATGGACCTAATCAACGAAGGCATACACTCGGCAGGTTGCTACCTTAGAATTGTGGCGTCGGTGGCCTAGTGGTTAGGCTACAGGACTCGAAATCGTTTGGTTGCGGAGTCGGGGGTTCGAGCCGCGGGCCCGATGTTGTGTCCTTAGGAAAGACACTTTACACACTAATTTTCCTCACTTCACCCAGGTGGAAATGGGTGCTCGGACATAGACAGCGAAAGATCCTGTCAGTATGTTAGTGTTTTAGCGCCTATAAATGGCTGTTTGCACAGTATGCTTCCCAGGAAGTTGAGTTTGTTTCAGAATGCTCTCAGGTCTGCTGGGGTAATAGTGTAGATTGGGAAGCGCATCTGGAGCTTGCTGTTGAGCGTGGATTTACGCTATATAAATGCTATCTATTATTATTAATTACAAATTTCTTTCTGACATTTTTCGCGGTTTCGAGTTACTAAGACAATGAGGTCAGAAACAAGTTGTTCTATCTGTTTTTTCACAATCGTAAGATTTTTCGGAGTCGTTACCGGGATATTCAAAAATTGCATTCGAAAAAACCTGACCATGTTATGAAAATCAAAATATTAAGTTCAGATTTCTCAAAACTGTCGAGCAGATAGAGCTTTGTAATTTTAATTCTAGATAGCCAAATGGAAGCTTGAACCTCGTTCGACGGAGGCCGCTTTTGATGTTAGGGAAAAAGAAAAAACTGTGGAATTTCCCACTTGTACTGCGTGTTTTAGTTTTTGCTCTCCTGCAGCGTCTGCCTTATTTTGTTTTTTCTTGTCTGTCAATATTGGACAGTGTTGTAGACTACTCCTGTGTGAGAAAAACCACTGACACAGAAGCAATAACGCACACGTTTTTTTCTGTATATAGATATGATCGCTTTTAAGGACAAGCGAGCTAATCCAGATTCCGGGGGTTTCCAGAAATCTTGACCTACACCAAAAGTGGGCCTTGCCCTACCAATAGGGGAGAAGTTTGGTTTCATTCGTGTGTATATTTGTTTAGATATAGATAAAACGTTCCTTGTCTTTTAAAGAAACTGAACAAGGGACAAAAATTTTACTTTCGATTTTCTCAAAACAGCATTTTTCCTGATAGCCCCCTTGTCCTTAAAAGCGACCATATAGATAGATAGATAGTTAGACAGACAGATAGATAGATAGATAGATAGATAGATAGATAGATAGATTGATAGACAGATAGATAGATAGATAGTTAGACAGATAGATAAATAGATAGATAGATAGATAGATAGATAGATAGATAGATAGATAGATAGATAGATAATCAGGTCATTGCTTTTAATATATTAATGGGTTTTTTAATGTGCTATGATACTTTGTTGTTTAGCTTTTGACACAAGAACGCAGCATCTGGTTGTTCTGTTGTACAGGGTGATAAAAAAAAAACTTTACAACTTTTTTTTAAATATCTCGCACAAATATTGTTCTAGAATGCTGTAATTTGGAACAGACAAAATTCATTCAAAAGGAATTTGTTTGATATAAAATCCTTGAAGAAGAAACATGTTTTGAAAACGGAAACGGCTAAAAGAAAAAGCACCCAAAAACTCAAAGTTCACCAATGTTTAAAAACCTTGTAAAGGAAGTCGTGAAAAGATTAGTTGACCTTTTTCTTTTCTTTCTCTTTGACATTCATTTTCCATCCCTGTGACATTTAAACTATATTTAAATTCTTTTACAGAGTTTAAAAAACCTAATTATTTCATTCTGAAATTCCTAGAAGCAGTGCTCCACATTCCCTCCTTTGGACTCGACACATTTTTAACGCGTCGTTCGAAATGTTCAGTGGCGCACTAACACAAGGACCTGCTAAACCATGAGTTTTTAATGCCACATACACTGTACATGTTTACTAAGAAGTGGCTTCTAGAGACAATAGAGTGGGGTGCCCAGTAGACAGCATTTTTTAATTTAACAAACCCCGCAGAGTGAAAATGGGCTTTGCACTAAACCAAATGTCATCGAGAAAATGACCCCTCTTTACAAGACAATCGAGGATTCATGAACACATTGCCATGCTCTGATCCATGTCATCTCGGCCAAGCGAAGATGAACATGGTATAGTCTTAGGTTAAGATCTGCCATGAGAATGCAGACCGCTGAGGTGTAGGAAAGTCCTAGCTGCAGATCATCCACGGACAGTCGTCTCATCGGACTCGGCTACTGAAATCTGCTCTCTGGTGGCGTTTAAAGGGCTGCGCATGGTGCGTGTTCATCCTCAAGTGGTCATGTTTTAAAGAACTTTTTAGTTCTGATTCGCTATAGATCCAAACTGACGGAACTTCTCTACTCATGACGCCATAGGTCTTGAGGGCACCTAGGCATTCACTCCTTGCCTTTCGCAGAACTTATGAAATGTCAGGGATGGTGAGTTTGTGGAGAGGTAATGTTCAATACAAAAAGCTCTCTGCTCTTTACTAAACGTAACCATGATCTAAGCAGGCGAACAAAATTTGTGGAAAATACTATCTGCAGACTTCTGTTGACTTGTTAGACTGCTGTAGCTTGCAATATGGCGCGATTGTTGCAACTTTTAGTGGTAGGCCTAATGCCAACTGGTGCGTCATGCTATGAAAATGGCGACAAGGTTGAAAATGGGTTGGTTTTTAATGCGCTGTATAGAGCAAAACCATTCAATATACTTATCTAAAATACGTATCACACAAAATCCTTTTGGATTCCAAATGTGATTTTCAAATCTGAAACTCAAAACGTCAGTATGGAGGAAGACATTTAAAAAACAAGTTGTAAAGTTTTTTTGGGATCACCCTGTATTTTACACTGTTGCATTTCTCTCTCTTCTTTGCCCAACCGAAAAATTGTTTAAGACCCATTTTGTGTACCATGTTGTGCTCTAGTCTTTTTAGGGATCTTGGAATTCTATCTTTGTCCTCTCTCTCTCTCCCTCCCTCACTCTCTCTCTCTCTCTCTCTCTCTCTCTCTCTCTCTCTCTCTATCTATCTATCTATCTATCTATCTCTCTCTCTCTCTCTTTCTCTCTCTCTTTCTCTCTCTCTTTCTCTCTCTCTTTCTCTCTCTCTGTCTCTTTCTCCTTGTTTCTCTCCCCCCTCTCTATCTCTCTCTTTCTCTTTCTCTCTCTCTTTCTCTCTCTCTTTCTCTCTCTCTCTCTCTCTCTCTCTCTCTCTCTCTCTCTCTCCCTCTCTCTCTGTCCCTCTCTCTTTATCTCTCTCTCTTTATCTCTCTCTCTTTCTGCCCCTGATGTTGTGTTATTGAGTGCGCTTTTGGCCAACGCATGGAAAGGCAGCGTAATAGTAAACATAAATAGCGTTCTGTGGGCCTACCTCTTTCTTTGCCCTTGGCCAGTTGTTTGGATGCTCGTGTCGCTAGCTTCTGTGCACGTCTCAAAATTATTGATTCCGGAAATCTGACTACAGTTAGCGGTATGGCGAACTTTGACGGAATCCCTCATAAACTTGAAGGGATTCCCTGCCTGAGTCTTGACCTCATTTCTCCCCACACTCAAAGTCTCCAAAAACAATGCCTTCTTTGGTTCTTTGGGGGTTATTCGAAGATGGTGTAGTTTGATCCGCTCCTTCTACTTCGTTGTCCCTTCCTGGTGAAATAGTGCCTGAACTCTCTCTCTCTCTTTCTCTCTCTTTCTCTCTCTCTCTCTCTCTCTCTCTCTCTCTGTCTCTCTCTCTTTCTCTTCTGTATCTTCATAGTTTTCCAGTGATCTGTTTCTTCTGTCTACTTTGCTCTTGTCCGTCCTTCCGCTTCCTGCTTTTCTGTTAGTCTCTGTATGTGTCTTCCAGTCTGTCAGTTAGTCTGTATTATGCTTCTACCTTTCTACGTTTGACGTAAATTCTCTCGGGAAATTTCCGGAGCCTTTGCGGATTTGATGCTGAGTGCAGTTATGTATATTATACAGTTCGTGGAGCTAATTCCTTGCTCTAATTATCCCCAAAAAAATTCAAAATTGTTGCTGCTGGTCTTGTTCTGTTTGTTATTCATGTTATACAATTTGAAAAGAATGTGTTAACATAGTTGAGCTGCAATCCTCAAGTAACAGTTTGTGTCATTTTGTTTTCACGGATTATATCGTCAGGTAAAAGTAAACTTGACCCCGCATCAAAACCGGTGTGACCTAGTACGCACAACGGGGTCGGTACTAGATCTATATGTTTTACAGGAACTGGAGACTGCTAGCTGTGGTTGTCAATGTGTGCAAAGACATGTGGGGGGGGGGGGGAGATGGGTACCTTGTACTTTACTTTTTGCTTATTGGAGGATTTCGTTGCGTCAGTATGCTCATGAACTGATACTTAAACAAGTAATATGTGCATAAACACAAACGCAGAGGTGGCCAGGTTGTGGGTTTGTTTCATTTTTTCTTCAGCTTTTGAAGAGCAAAGCGTGTGGTCAATTAGCTCTCGATCTGTCTTCAGGGAAGAAAACCCACGTTCGATTCGATTTTTCTCGACTTAGCTCACCGAGTCTGTGTGCTTTTAGATTCATTTCACGATTAAGTTGGGGGGTTTTTAAATTAATAAATAATATGGAATTGTTTCATGCTTTACGACTCCCGTTGACAAAAGTTAGATCTTTTGGGAGGCGGCTGCTTCGAGCCTGCCTATCAGAGCCAACCGAGGCTGAGATGTGTACAACGTTCCAGCAGACATTCAAGGTTACTGGGTGGAAAAAACCCACCTTGGTACGCGGGAATCGAACTCACGTCTTTTTTGTGCTGCAGAGAAGCACGTAATCGCTGCCCCACAGACCCAAGTTTTATGATGGAGATTCAGAATCAGGGTACCGTTAAGAAGTCTTGGGGTCGAAGTAAAATGTACCCTGCTGTCTTAGAATTCCAAGATTACATGAGAGGAACTTAAAACTTACTGTGTTCGGTACCGGTACGCTCTACTTTCTCTTTGTCTCACTGTGTTCCCAGGTCTGGTGACTTTTTCTGACGGTCGGCACGGCTTGCCCAGGAACGAGGGCTGTTTCGACGGCGAGCGGATCCTGCGGCGCGAGAAGTGCTCTAAGACCATCCAGAGGGCCCGGGACATGGCCAAGAGGGCGATCGAGGCCAGCAAGACGCTCGGGGCCAGCTCCTGAAACGATGCCCTCACTGACGGAACATAGCCAAAAAAACATGGCTTTGGAAGAGTTGCAAACTTGATCTGAACCTTGTACATAAAGATTCAACGATGCAAGAATGTTTACCTTGCTTTGTTTAATCTTCCTCCTTTTTTTTCTTTTTTCTGGAGGTGGGGGTGGGGTGGGGGTAATTTTTGTTTTATTTTTATTTTTGTTTTTTCTTTTGTTTAGGAGTGTGGTTTGTGGGGGTTTTGTGCGTCTTTGTTCGTTGACATTTCCCAGATTGTTATGTACGGCTTCACCCTGGGAGACATTGGGAATTGGAGCATCTAATTTCTGGACAAGTTGTATAGAGAAATGCCGTGCCCTTGAGGTACTGGTTTGAACAAAAGAATGGTGTTTTGATGTTGGGATTGTTTTTAAAAATGTGTTTGTTTGTTGTTGTTTTGTTTGATTGTGTGTTTGTTTGTTTTTGGGGGGTTGGTTTGTTTAATTTCTTTTCCGAGTTTTCTTCGCTTATTTAGTTTCTTTGTGAGGTTAGGGAATTGGCTTGGGTTAGGTGTGTGTGTGGGTGTGGGGGTGGGGGCTTTGCTTCTTTGGAGATCTTGTCATGTATTTGTAACTAACTCATTGTTTTGTTTTTGCACCACTTCTCTTTTGTTATATGCCGTTTTGCATTTAAGTAGGTTGCGTAGATCTGTAATACTCTACGGTGATTTCCTCGTTAGCTACCGACACACTAAGACTTGTGTTTTTGGATTTTTTCCCCTTTTGATTTTGGAGATATTTTCTTCTTCCCTCTTTGCCTTCGTTGGATTGTCATAAGTTTGTTGTTTTTTTCTTTTGTGGTATTGGCGCTTGTTTTATATCATGTGTGTCTGTGTGTGTGTTTGTGTCTGTGTGTTTATGTGTGTTGATGTGTTTGTTTGTTCGTATATGTATGATCATTTTTGTGTCCATGTGTTTGTGTGTGTTTGTGTGTGCGTCTTACGAGTATGTTCCAAATATGGTCTGGAGACAAGCTTGTGGAGGTTCTTTCTCGTTTTATTGTTGTGAGTTCTGCTTTGTCTGTTGGGTTATAGTTGTCATTGTTGTTTCTTTGAGGTTTCATTGTAGGAATTGATTATGATTGTATAACTTGGCCTGTCGGTTTTAAGGGGTGTGGTTGGTTGAAATGTTAGTTGGTTGTTGTTGTTTTTCATTTTTGAGGTTTTCTGAGAGGTTTTTGTTGTTTTTTTCTGGGTTTTTTAACTATTTTGTTTTGGGTTTTTTGTATTTTTTAAATTTTTTTTGGTTTGATGATTCTCACAAAAAAAATTGATCAAGGTCTACACAATGATGAGATTTGTACTTGTTTTAATCATCATAATATCATGTACCTTATTGTGCGAAATATATATAGACATTCGAATTCACGGAAAGCTCGAACAATATGCCATTATCCAACTTTCTTTGTATTGGCAGAACGGTATTTCTCGAATATCTGCTCGGATGTGTTGAATAATTCATCTCGCAGAGCCTGATCAAATTTTTCCTCACAATATTTTGTTTTAACAAAGCGACCCAGACACGGGTTATTCTGTTGTTTTTAGCCCGAGGATGGTTGTGGGGGGGCACCGCCGCTAGATGACGCCTAGATGAGACCCACATCTTTTCTTTTCCGTTGTTGTTGTCTCAGTCTCTTCTCTCTTTTTGTTTTCCCCCGAACTCATATAGGTGGGTGGTTGGCGGGTGCTCTGGTTTGCTCCTTCTTTTCTATCAAACATCTATCGCCTTTATCTTCCCTCCTTTTTTTATGTTTGTCACTCCCTTTGTAACACCTCTAATCTTCTGGCACTCATAATATGACCTTATGCAGTTGCGAGCGCCGTAAAACCTCTACTAAAGCAGCTGACGAGCTCATATAGATCTAATAGTTATTGTGTTGATGTGCTTCTGTGTACTCGAGGAGAGCTCACTTTAGCTTGTTTGGATCCTGCGTGCCGCGAGTATTTTTCCTTCCCGTGAGAGGCGAAGAACAATGGCTCACATTGTTCTCTTGTTTGAAGATGGGAGCTGATTATGGTTTTAATATTGTTTTTAGTATTGTACGCATAATATTTTTCCAGATGTAACTTTATATCAAACTACATGCACATTGTATTCATATAGCAAATATAATATTATATTGACATTCTACCTTAAAATTTATCTTTTACTATATTTCTGTAAACATAATACGAATTTTATTTTCTGACATCATTGATTCTGAGTATGAAATAAACCTACAAGATATTCTATTTTTTTAAATCAGTTTGTCATGCGTTTGCTTTAAGTGTTTTATTTGTTTTTGTTTTGCATTGTAGTGTTTTCTTTGTTTTTTTTGTCATCACCACTTTACAATCCACTGCCCAATTCTGTATATGTTTTTCGAAATTGTTTCATCAACTGGTGTGGGTCCTGTAGCTGCCTCACCCCCCCCCCCC